TGCAATCTCGGCTCACTGCAACCTCTGCCTCCCGGATTCAAGTGATTCTCCTGCCTTAGCCTCTCAGGTAGCTGGGATTACAATCTCACACCACCATGCCCAGCTAATTTTGTATTTTTAGTAGAGACGGGTTTTGTCCGTATTGGTCAGGCTGGTCTTGAACTCCTGACCTCAGGTGATCCGCCCGCCTCATCCTCCCAAGGTGCTGGGATTACAGGTGTGAGCCACCGCCCCCGCCGCCCCCACCCCCATGCTATTTATTACTAAAAATGATTCTTAGAAGACATGTCTCCTCTCCTAAAGTTCTCCCTATATCCTTGTGAAGCACACTGATCATGTGTGTGTGTGCTGCATGGAGAGGCTGAGGCCCAGAGCAATTACAGCAGATCAAGTGCCCTGGTGGGTACAGAGCTCAGCTGGGCTGGGCACGGGGTTCCGGGCAACCATTAGAATCGGGAGCCAGTCCTGGCCGGGCGCGATGGCTCACGCCTCTAATCTTAGCACTTTGGGAGGCCAAGATGGGCGGATCACCTGAGGTTGGGAGTTCGAGACCAGCCTGACCAACATGGAGAAACCCTGTCTCTACTAAAAAGAAAATACAAAAATTAGCCGGGCATGGTGGTGCATGCCTGTAATCCCAGCTACTCGGGAAGCTGAGGCAGGAGAATTGCTTGAACCCAGGAGGTGGACGTTGCGATAAGCAGAGATCGCGCCATTGCACTCCAGCCTAGGCAACACGAACGAAACTCTGTCTCAAAAAACAAAAAAAAAAATCGGGAGCCAGTCCTTATGGATTCGTGTGTGTGGCATGGATGGAGAGGGGCAGCAGAGAGCCAACAGAGTTGTGAACACTGCTGGGCAAGGTGTCCCCGTGCAACCCAGGCAGGCTTCTGAGAAGAAGAGGCAGTCTTCTGCGTGGAGCCAGGTTGCAGGGCGCAATCCACTAAAATGGTGGACCTGTCAAGAATGTCACAAAGACCACACAAAGGAGGGGCGAGGATGGTCATGAATATCACTGTGCTGGGACATAAATTTATCCTATTATAAAAAATATTTTTATTTGGGGAAAATCCCACATCTGATTTTTTAAAAGCATGCACAATAAGACCATAGCAAAACCAAAACTTTTGGATCTATACACTGTTTCTTCTCCCAGAATCTCCATTTTCCTGTAATAACTCATGGCAGAGTAGCTTTGTGAGCACTCAGTTATGCAGCTGCATTTTCTTTCTTTCTTTCTTTCTTTCTTTCTTTCTTTCTTTCTTTCTTTCTTTCTTTCTTTCTTTCTTTCTTTCTTTCTTTCTTTCTTTTTTTTTAATTTGAGACAGGATTTCACTTCTATCACCCAGACTGGAATGCAGTTGCATGATATTGGCTCACCACAACCTCCACCTCCTGGGCTCAAGCAATCCTCTGGCCTCAGCCTCCCCAGTCGCTGTGATTACAGGCACCCACCACGACTCCCAGCTAATTTTTGAATTTTTAGTAGAGATGGGGTTTCCCCATGTTGCCCAGGCTAGTCTCAAACTCCTGACCTCAAGTGATCTGCCTGCCTCAGCCTCCCAAAGTGTTGGGATTATAGGAGTGACATACCATGCCTGGCCCATTTTCTTTAAGTAAATAGTTTTCTGACGTCTTAGGTAGACATGGACATGGAAAACATGGGTGTTTTAAAGGTTAATGTATGTGTCACTGACAACGTTTGTTTCAAATGGAAAAGAACGATTATTCCATTGGGCAACAGTTTTCACACTACTTTAATAATGACCCTTAGAGTAAACAGTAATAATGAAATGGAGACTGTCAGCCATTTTTTATGATTTCTGGGTGTTTTATAGCCTTGGATACTTGTAAATGTGTGTGTATGTGTGTAGCTCATTAAATATTCTACTGAATTGTAATATTCAACCTAATATTCATACCTCTTTTTTGTTTATACTCAGGTTTTAAAGTATAATCTCAGATAAATTAGTCAGTTGAATTAAAACACAGTGAAGGTATCTGAATTTTATGAGATAAAATTACATCTTCTCAGCTGGGTGCAGTGGCTCACACTTGTAATGCCAGCACTTTGGGAGGCCGAGGCGGGCGGATCACAAGGTCAGGAGTTCATGACCAGCCTGGCCAACATGGTGAAACCCCGTCTCTACTAAAAATACAAAAATTAGCCTGGCATAGTGGCCTTTGCCTGTAATCCCAGCTACTTGGGGGGCTGAGGCAGGAGAATCACTTGAACCCGGGAGGTGGAGGTTGCAGTGAACAGAGATCTTGCCATTGCACTCCAGCCTGGGCAACAGAGTGAGAGTCTGTCTCAAAACAAAACAAAACAACAAACAAACAAAAGCATCTCCTCAGAGGATACAATTTTCAGATTCTTTCAAATGAACCTTTCCTTTCCTTTCTCAGTTAAAACATCTTTGGCCTTAGTTTACTAATTTTCATTAAATGGAGCATTCTTTACAAATCGGCAGAAATGCTGAAATTACAACCACACTCTTTTTTTTTTTTTTTTTTGAGACGGAGTCTCGCTCTGTCGCCCAGGCTGGAGTACAGTGGCCGGATCTCAGCTCACTGCAAGCTCCGCCTCCCGGGTTTACGCCATTCTCCTGCCTCAGCCTCCCGAGTAGCTGGGACTACAGGCGCCCGCCACCTCACCCGGCTATTTTTTTGTATTTTTTCAGTAGAGACGGGGTTTCACCGTGTTAGCCCGGATGGTCTTGATCTCCTGACCTCGTGATCCGCCTGTCTCGGCCTCCCAAAGTGCTGGGATTACAGGCTTGAGCCACCGCGCCCGGCCTTAACCACACTCTTAATTCAGGTAAATATCATGAATGCTTTGCAATCATTATAGACTTGTTCCTTGGCATCTGAGGGGACTGGTTCCAGGACTGCCAGAGGATACCCAAATCTGTGCATCTTTAAATCTTGCAGTTGGTCTTCTGGAGCCCACCTATAAGAAAAGTCGGCCCTTTCGGATCACGAGGTCAGGAGATCGAGACCATCCTGGCTAACACGGTGAAACCCCGTCTCTACTAAAAAAAAAATACAAAAAACTAGCCGGGCGCAGTGGCGGGCGCCTGTAGTCCCAGCTACTCGGGAGGCTGAGGCAGGAGAATGGCGTGAACCCGGGAGGCGGAGCTTGCAGTGAGCTGAGATCCGGCCACTGCACTCCAGCCTGGGCAACAGAGCGAGACTCCGTCTCAAAAAAAAAAAAAAAAAGAAAAGTCGGCCCTTTGTGTACGCAGGTTTCACATTCCATGAATACTGCATTTTCAGTCCTCGTTGGGTTGAAAAAAGTCCTCGTAGAAGTGGACCCACGCAGTTCAAACCCATGTTGCTCAAGGGTCAGCTGTAATTATTGGATTCCAATTGCAAATGATAAAAAAGTGCTACTTTAGAGCTACGTTTCACACAGAGTGTATCTGCGCTACTACTTGTCAAAAAGAAATCCAAAGAAATGCTCACTGAATTTGTTCATTACTTTACAATTTTAATTTGATTCAATTTTGAAGAGGTAATATAGTTCGAACATGGTTCGAAACCCAAAAGATACACATCTAAAAGGCAAATGTCTTAGTCAATTTTGTGCTGCTGTGAGAGAATACCTAAGACTGAGTAATTTACACAGAAAAAAAAATTTATTCTCTCAGTTCTGGAGGCTGGAAGTCAAAGATCAAGTCACTGGCATCTGCTGAGGGCATTTGTGTGTGTGTCCTCACAGGATGGACAGCAGAAGGGCAAGAGAGAGCAAAGCCCTCCATCAAGTCCCTCTAGAAGGGTATCTAATTTCAGTTAGAAAAAAGAGCCCTCATGGTTGAATCACCTTTTAAAAGTCTCATCTCTTAATACTATCACACTGGCAATACTTGAATTTTGGAGGGGGCACATTCGAACCATGGCATAATGGAAACATCCTTGTAGCATTATTTGTAATAGCTCAAACCAAAAACAATTTAAATGTTCACTGATAGTGGTACATAAATATAGTGGTGGCTGGGTGTGGCGGCTCACGCCTGTAATCCTAGCACTTTGGGAAGCCGAGGCAGGTGGATTGCCTAAGCTCAGGAGTTTGAGACCAGCCTGGGCAGCATGGTGAAACCTTGTCTCTACTAAAAATACAAAAAAATTAGCCAGGCGTGGTGGTGCACACCTGTAATCCCAGCTACTCGGGAGGCTGAGGCATGAGAATCGCTTGAACCTGGGAGGCGGAGGTTGCAGTGAGCTGACATAGCACCATTGCACTCCAGCCTGGGTGACAGAGCGAGACTCTGTCTCAAAAAAAAAAAAAAAAAAAAATGTAGTGGCATATTCATGCAATGGAATATCATACGGTAATAAACATGAACAGCTACTTACTCATGCTGTAATGTGGACAACTCCCACAAGCATAAGGTTGAGGCATAAAATTATGCTATATGGTTCAATTTACATAATGCTACAGAAGAGGCAAAACTAGTCTATGGTGTTAAAAGTATGACAGTGGTTACCTTTAGGGAGGCAGGAATGTAATGTTTTGGGAAAATGCATTATTACTGTGGTTTCAGTCTGTTCTGTTTCATGACCTAGATAGTGGTGATAGTGGTTTTCTGGGTGTATTATTATTATTATTATTATTGAGAGGGAGTCTCACACTTTCTCCTAGGCTGGAGGGCAATGGCGCGATCTCAGCTCACTAGAACCTCCGCTTCCCGGGTTCAAGCGACTCTTCTGCCTCAGCCTCCCGAAGTAGCTGGGATTACAGGTCACCACACCAGGCTAATTTTTTTGTACTTTTAGTAGAGACGGGGTTTCACCGTGTTAGCCAGGATGGTCTCGATCTCCTGACCTCGTGATCCGCCAGCCTCAGCCTCCCAAAGTGCTGGGATTACAGGCATGAGCCACCATGCCCGGCCTCTGGGTGTATTATTAAAGGAAAGATAAGGACCACCTACTGACTGAAAATGTGAGCACTATATTTATTTCAACTGAGTGAATCCCCACAAGGAAAAAAATATCAGGAATTTTATGTGCTAGCAAGGAGAAGTTCATTGTGATTTTGCCAGTTAACAATTGCAGCTCACAGCCTGGACTGGGTAGAATGCATCCGTCTGTATGTATATGGTTGTGTGAAGCGAGTCTCATTGCTCTTTAGTTGGGAAAGAATTTTCAGTTAGGTTGGGTGAGGATCACCTCTTGGTTGTTAATCACCTTTGCTAGTGTATTGCTCAAAGTTTATAGTCATTTAACAGCTTTGGCTGGTGAAAATAACATTTATGTTTGATTAAACTCCAGGCAAGTATTTCTATAATTATAAAGTTGTTTTTTTATAGTCCTTTATAATGGCCTTACCTTATTCAGAGATGAAAGGTTGACCTGAAAGGATAAGAAAATTATCAAACTTTCAGATTCAGCTCACATTCAGATCAGTCTTGGGTGTTGTATTGAGTAGATTGTTTGTTTTATTGATTTGTTTTATATTTAATGAAGTGTGATTTATATACAGTAAAATTCTCATTAGTATACAATTCTATGAGATTTGAATCTTATAGAGTTGTGTAACCACTGCTGCCACCACCCACACAGTCAAGATACACAATGATTCTATCACCCCTAAAAATTCCACCTTCCCCCATTCCGCTTTTCGATACCCACCTCCTCCTAAATCCCCAGTTGTATTAGTTAATTATCCCTCTGCTATAAGGACATACTCGGGACTGGGTAATTTATAAAAGAAAGAGGTTTAATTGACACAGTTCAGCAAGGCTAGGGAGGCTAAGGCCTCAGGAAATTTATAATCATGGCGGAAGAGGAAGTAAACATGTCTTTCTTCACAAGGTGGCAGGAGAGAAAAAAATGAGTGCCCAGTGCAGGGGGAAGCTCCTTATAAAACCATCAGATCTCAGGAGAACTCACTCACTGTCACAAGAACAGGATGGGGAAAAGCGCTCCATGATTCAATTATCTCCACCTGGTCCCCCCCATGACATGTGGGGATTATGGAAATTATAATTCAAGATGAGATTTGGGTGAGGACACAACCAAACCATATCATCAACCATTGACAACCCCTGATTTGTTTTAACGTTTTTTCCCATTCTACCACATCATATGGCCTTTAGAATCTGACTCCTTTCATGTATTAATAGCACAAGGCATTTGAGATTCATTCATGCTGTTATGTGTCTCTGTAGTTCATTCCTTTTTATTGCTGAGTAATGTTTCTATATATATATATACACACTATAGATAGTATTTCATACATATATGTCACAATTTGGTTATCTACTTGAGAGGTGAGGCCAGCTGGACTTCCTGGGTTGAGTGGAGACTAGGGGTACTTTTCTGTCTTACAAGAGGATTGTAAAATGCACCAATCGGGAACTTTTCTGTCTCACAAGAGGATTGTGAAACGCACCAATCGGTGCTCTGTAAAATACACCAATCAGCACTCTGTAAAACACACCAATCGGCACTCTGTAAAATGCACCAATCAGCAGGATTCTAAAAGTAGCCATTCGTGGGGAGGATTCAAAAAAGGGCACTCTGATAGGACAGAAATAGAATATGGGCGGGGACAATAAGGGAATAAAAGCTGGCGTACCCAGCGCACATCTGCAACCTGCTCCTGTCCACTTGCACGTTGAGGAGGGTTTGTCTTTTGGCTCTTCACAATTGCCACCACTCACTCTTTGGCTCTGTGCCATGTTTAAGAGCTGTAACACGGCTGGGTACTTTGGCTCACGCCTGTAATTCCAGCACTTTGGGAGGCAGACGCGGGTGGATCACGAGGTCAAGAGATGAGACTATTCTCAGTATCACGGTGAAATCCTGTCTCCCTTAAAAAAAAAAAAAAAAAGAAAAAAAGCCGGGCGTGGTGGCGGGCGCCTGTAGTCCCAACTACACGGGAAGCTGAGGCAGGAGAATGGCGTGAACCTGGGAGGTGGAGCTTGCAGTGAGCCAAGACCGCGCCACTGCCTACAGCCTGGGCGACAGAGTGAGACTCGGTCTCGAAAAAGAGCTGTAACACTCACTGCGAAGGTCTGGCCTCATTCTTGAAGTCAGTGAGACCACGAACCAACTGGCAGTAGCCAACTCCAGACATATAATCACAAGGTGATGGACATTTGGGCTATTTCCGGAGTTTTGCGATCATGAAAAGCTGCTTTAAACATTTGTGTACAGGTTTTTGTGTGAAGATAAGTTTTCATTTCACTTGGGTAATACCTAGCAGTGAGATTACAGGGTCATATGGTAAGTCCATGTTTAACTTTAAAAGAAACGAACTGTTTTTCAGCGTGGCTTTACCAGTTTACTTTCCTACAAGCAAGATGTGAGAGTATCTGTTGCACCATGTCTTTGCTAGCAGTTGGTGTTGTCGGTTTTTTAGCCGTTCTAGTAGGTGTGTAGTGGTATGTCCTGTGGTTTTAATATGCACTTCCCTGGCAGATAATGGTAAATTATGTTGAGCTTCTTCCCATTTGCCATGTTGGCCCAAGTTTCTGTCTGCTATCAGAATTCTACTTTAAAATTTTTCTAGCTAGGCACAGTGGCGCATGCCTGTAATCATAGCACTTTGGGAGGCTGAGGTAGGCAGATTTCCTGCACTCAGGAGTTCAAGACCAGCAACATTATGCAACCTTGTTTCTACTAAAAATATAAAAATTAGCCGGCTGTGGTGGTGCACGTCTGTAGTCCCAGCTACTCGGGAGGCTGAGACGTGAGAATTGCTTGAGGCTGGGAGGTGGAGGTTGCAGTGGGCTGAAATTGCACCACTGCACTCCAGCCTGAGTGACAGAGTGAGACTCTGTCTCAAAACAAAAAAAATTCCTTTAACATTTCTTATGTTATTATATGTTAATAATACAGATTTTCTAGTAATAAATTGTGTCAATGTTTATCTGAAAAAGTCTTTATTTCATTTTTATTTTTGTAAGATATTTTTGCTGGGTATAGAATTCAAAGGTGGGAGCTTTGTTTTTTCTGCACTTAAAAAATGTTATGCCTCTGGCCTACAGAGATTCTTTTTTTTTTTTTTTTTTTTTTTTTAGATGGAGTGTTGCTCTGTCACCTAGGCTGGAGGGAGGTGGTATGATCTCGGCTCACTGTAACCTCTGCCTCCCAAGCGATTCTCATGCATCAGCATCCTGAGTAGCTGGGATTATAGGCATGCACCACGGGCACCCAGCTAATTTTTGTATTTTTACTAGAGACAGAGTTTTGCCATGTTGGCCAGGTGGTGTCATACTCCTGGCCTCAAGTGATCCACCCACCTTGACCTCCCCAAGTGCTGGGATTACAGGTGTGGGCCACCGCACCCGGTCTTTTTTTTTTTTTTTTTTCTAATTTTAGCATTTTCATTTGACTTTTTCTCATAGTTTATATTTTTTAGTTGAAATTCTTCATCTGTTCATGTACATTGTCAACTTTTCCACAAGCCTTTAATGTATTAATCATAGTTATCTTAAATGTCCTGTCTGACAGTTCCAACATCCGGTCATACCTAAGTCTGGCTCTGCTGATTGCTCTGTTTCTTGACTGGGAATTGCTTTTTTTTTTTTCTTTCTTGTGTGTCTTGTAATTTTTAGTTGAAAGCCAAACATGGTGTGTTGCACAGTAAAGGGTAAAGGGAATGGTGTTTTGCATAGAGATGGTAACATATCCTCTTCTGTTGGGCTTTTAGTGTGGGGAGCTGAGTCAATATAAGTGATGCCTGAGTTGGACATGGGCTCTGTTGTTGCTATGGTTACTTTTGGTGAACCACAAGATTCAAAATTCTCTAGTTTTACCTTGTGCATTGATGAGGGTTGTGCTGCCAGAGAGTTTTCCCTGTTACACTATCAGCTGTAGTCCTGTGGTCCTGTGTCTCAAAGAGAAAGGGCACATGGAAAAAGCTGAGGCTGCTGGAGGGATGAAGAACCGAGGCCATCATCACGCTCTACCAAAGGTGCTTTTTCAGTTGTTTTTTTTTTCAGAGTCACTTTAGAATCCTTTCAATTTAGGATCATTTGATGTTTGTTGAGATGGTGCAGCAGCATTTCAGAACCTGTTTACAAATCATTTGACAACAGCAATGATTAGAAACGGAGATAGAAACAACATAACCAATGCAAAGTATCCCTCTTTTTGTCAAAACTCAAGGCACGAGACTAGGTTTCACTGTATGCATTATCCCACTTTGGACAATGAGTTGGCTTGTCCTTGAATTTTACATAAGGAACTTTCATTGATCCAGCTGCAACAGGAGGTACTAGGACACAAATATCACCTTGCTCGGCTAGTGTATAATCAAAGGCAATTCTGTTGTCTAGTAACACTTCATCAAGAAAGTTCAGGCTCATTTTTTTAAAGCCTATAGTGCAAATATAGTTTTATTTGAAATGATTACCATGGCAATAGAGATTTTGTGTACTGCAAGATAAGGAAAGATACCTTACACAGAAATATAGATCTCACCATCTCTAATTCCTCCAAATAGATTTGCATTCCACTGAGAGCATCAGACGGGTGTAAAACATCCTTGATAGAAATGGGGAATTTAAAAATTCATGTAAGTTCTTATTAATGCAAGTCTTTCCACAAGTTAAAAACTGACCAGATTCAGTGTAGCTCTTATATGAAATCTTTCTGTCAAAGCATATGTTCTACTTTCAGTATACAATGAATGTTAATTGTTTAATATATATGAATTCTGCAACTGCACAAATATGTTTGCCTTCGTCCATGTAGTATTGGCACAAAATTTGGTAATTGGTCCAACTTTTAGTTTTCAGTTTTGATTTGGGTCTGATGAGATTTTCCATGATATAAATGCTAAAATTTGAGAAATTTTACCGTTAGTCACAGAATTTAGTGTACAATTACAAAAATTTAGGTGGAAACATAAAAAACAATTAGAGCAAACCTGATCAGTTTCTCAGTTCAAACTTTGGAAAAGATTTTAGGCCTTGGATGGGTCTAATATTTAAGTTAAGTATAATTATAGCAATATTATAAATATTTAAGATAAGTATAGTTATGCTGATGTGTATAAATGAAATATGTTCAATCCACATGATTGAACAGGACAAGTTAGCATCATAAGCTTGGAAATCTTGAGCAGAAATGTGGAATGCTTGATATCCAGTAATAAGGGATACATTAGAGGTCAGAGATGCATTTAAAAATCCAGACTCTTTTTAATTTCCTGGAGCTTTACACTCTTAGATGGAAAATGCCCTGGTAAGCATAAGCTCTCCCTGGACCACGTGTATTAAGGACAAGAATAAAAAACATGTGTAAGGCCGGGCGCGGTGGCTCAAGCCTGTAATCCCAGCACTTTGGGAGGCCGAGACGGGCGGATCACAAGGTCAGGAGATCGAGACCATCCTGGCTAATACGGTGAAACCCCGTCTCTACTAAAAAAATACAAAAAACTAGCCGAGTGAGGTGGCAGGCACCTGTAGTCCCAGCTACTTGGGAGGCTGAGGCAGGAGAATGGCATAAACCCGGGATGCGGAGCTTGCAGTGAGCTGGGATCGGGGCACTGCACTCCAGCCTGGGCAACAGAGCGAGACTCTGTCTCAAAAAAAAAAAAAGAAAAAAGAAAAAAAAATGAGTAAGTCATTGTTGGTATATATATTAGTCCATTTTCACACTGCTATAAAGAACTGCCCGAGACTGGGTAACTTAGAAAGGAAAGAGGTTTACTTGACTCACAGTTCAGCATGGCTGTGGAAACTTACAGTCATGGCGGAAGGCAAAGGGGAAGCAAGGCACCTTCTTCACAAGGTGGAAGGAAGGAGAAGGAATGCAGGAGGAACTACCAAACACTTATCAAATCATCGGATCTCGTGACATCTCACTCACTATCATGAGAACAGCATTGGGGAAACTGCCCCATGATTCAATTATCTCCACCTGGTCTCTCCCTTGGTATGTGGGGATTATGGGGATTACGACTCAAGATGAGATTTTGGGTGGGACACAGCCAAACTGTATCAGTGTACTATCAGCAGTTTAAATCAGCAAAAAGGAATCCAAGTCAATATAAGGATTAGAGACAGAAGCAAGAAACAAGAAGAAAAGAGAAAGAAAATAATATTTGTGGTTTTGGTCATTGGGTCTTATTCTGATGATCTTGAGTGGAAGCTACTTCAAGTACATCAATGTGGTGCCAAGTACTTGGATCCAAGGATACACACCTCAGAGTTTTACTGTTATCTGTTATTAACAGCCTTTGTTATGGGATCTTTTGGGTGTCGTTTTTCTGGCCAGAAGCCTCTGTAGTTGGTGGTACCTTTGTCTGACTTTTGATCTGGTCGATTCAGCTTGTTCCTCCCACTCGGCCTGGCAGGCTGCACTTGGCTCATGCTACCAGCCTGGATCCACCCCTGCCAAGGGTGAACCAGGTGTGGAGTCCAAGATGTGTGAGCAAGTGAGCATGGGGTCCGGCCACTGCACACAGTCAAGCAGGCCGGCTCCTGAAGTAGCAGGGGCAGTTTCCAGGTACCAGCACAGGCAGCAGCTCTCTGCAAGTCTGCAGCTGGACCAGGCACACTGCAAGCAGCTTTGGCTGGCACTGGGGGGAATGCAGTGGCACCTGGAAGCTCAGAGACTCCAAGAACTGCAGGGCCTCAAAGAGGGAGTCACAACCCTGGCTTGGGGAGCTCCCAGGTCTGGGCTCCCCAGAGGGCCTCAACTCTTCTCTCTCACTCTTCACCTGCAATGTGGAGAGCAAGGGGCATGTTTCAGCCCTGTTTGTGTTACAGCACTTCTAGACTTGCCATTCAGCGCCCTGAGTTCTTGTCCTGCAACCAAGAAGAATGAAGCATGCAGACAAGTGGAGGGTGAACAAGATAGAGCTTTATTGAGCAGTAGAATAGCTCAGGGACCCACTGTGGGTAACGCCTTTCTGCAGCCAGGGTGTCCTGATGAGTGTTCAGCCCTCAGCAGAGAAGAGGAGGCCCTGGGATGGGTGGTCCCTCTCTGCTGGCAGGTTTTCCTGTCATCTCCACAACTCTTAGCAGAAAGGAGGCCCTGGAGTGTGTTGCTCGTCTCTGCAGCTAGTTCATTGCTGGAGTGGGAAGGCCCTCTCTGCGGCTGGTCATCCCATTGTCTCTCCTGCTCTGGCTGAGCCTGGGGCTTTTATGGGCCTCTGAGTGGGGAAGTGCCTTCTGATTGTTCCATGGGCAGCCATGGGCGGGCCCAGGAAAAAGCACCATGAGTTTCCCCCTCCAGTCCACAGGACTGACAGCCTGGCTTCCAGGCTTTAGGCCTTCTCCAGCCTGAAGGCGGGGCTTCACTGGGGACCCACCCCCTTCCACCCAGGAACCTGTCTCCTGCTGCTGTCCATGGTGCCCAGGCTGCTTGAACTAAGGGGCACCTGCAGACCAGTACTAAACTGCCCTCAGTTCCTCCTTGGCTTCCCCTCCCATGCTCACGGTGCCCAAAGCCTGTAGGGGGCTGAGGTGGTAGGGAGCTGGTGTGTTGGTGATGCCCCGAGTGTATATACACTCAGCTGGGCTGTGACAGTGCCCAGGCTTGGCCCCAACCATGCTCCAAGATCAGAGCGGGTGCTGAGCTGGGAGAGGCCAGGCATCGGAGCAGACACCCCTGAGCCTGTGGAGACAGGAGGCCTTCCCAGGCCCCCAAGGGTGCAGACTGCAGAGACGCCCAGGTCTTGTGCCTGGGAGGGCAGCTGCAGAGGTACCCTGGGGAAAGCAGGGCTCTTGCCTGCTCCAGGAATGGGAGGCCCGGGCCTGCCTCTCTGTGGTGGCTGGCATCTTGGCAGCTGCCATCCTAGATGGGCCGCTTCTGCCATCACCTTCCCAGGATCCTTTCCAGAATGTCTCTAGAGAATATTTCCAGTTGGTGTCTTTTCCAGAGTACCTAATATCTAGGTTGAAGGAGTGTAGAGGTTCTGAAGGTGAAGTTTTTGAAAATCTAGTTTGCACTCATGGAAGATAAGAATGATTATTGAATTTCTCTTTATCAGTATTTATCTAGGTCTGCCTGAAGCAAGGTCCAATCAATTACGAGTGGTAAAACTTACAGGTGCATGGGTCTTCTAGTTGTTAATTCATAAGGTTACAGTCTATAAGTTCCAGAACAGGCTGACCTGATGGCCACTAGGGGTAAAATTCTCAGCCACGGATGTTTAAGAGCTGCGGATAACCAGTTTTATTATTTTTATTTTTTAGAGACAGAGGTCTCTATCTGTTGCCCAGGCTGGCATGCAGTAGTGCAATCATAGCTCACTACGGTCTCAAGCTCCTGGACTCAAGCAATCCTCCCACCTGAGCCTCCCAAGTAGTTCGGACTACAGGTGCATGACATCATCCCTGGCTAAGGTATTGTACTTTGTTTTATTTTTTTTGGAAACAGGGTCTTGCTGTGTTGCTCAGGCTGCTTTTGAACTCCTGTCTTCAAGCAATCCTCCTGCCTCAGAAGCAGGACAGAAAGCAAGAAGCAATAATAAAGAAAAATGAAAAACTCCCGAGTAGCTGGGATCATAGGCACACATCACCACCAATTTAAGTTGTGTACCTACATTTGTACCAGGAAACTGTAGAGAGTAAGGGTAACAAGACTTTTTCTGAGATGGAGTCTCACTCTGTTACCCAAGCTGGACTGCAATGGCGTGATCTTGGCTTACTGCAACCTCTGCCTCCCAGTGACTCTCCTGTCTCAGCCTCCTGAGTAGCTGGGACTATAGGTGTGTACCACCACACCTGGCTAATTTTTGTATTTTTAATAGAGATGGGGTTTCACCATGTTGTCCAGGCTGGTCTTGAACTCCTGATCTCGGCTCACTGCAACTTCCACCTCCCAGGTTCAATCGATTCTCCTGCCTCAGCCTCCGAGTAGATGGGATTACAGGCACACATCACCAGGCCTGTCTAGTTTTTGTATTTTAATTTTTATTTTTTTTTTTTTTTGAGACGGAGTCTCGCTCTGTCGCCCAGGCTGGAGTGCAGTGGCGCGATCTCGGCTCACTGCAAGCTCCGCCTCCCGGGTTCACGCCATTCTCCTGCCTCAGCCTCCGAGTAGCTGGACTACAGGCGCCCACAACCGCGCCGGCTAATTTTTTGTATTTTTAGTAGAGATGGGGTTTCACCGTGGTCTCGATCTCCTGACCTTGTGATCCGCCCGCCTCGGCCTCCCAAAGTGCTGGGATTACAGGCGTGAGCCACCGTGCCCGGCCCTAGTTTTTGTATTTTTAGTAGAGACAGGGTTTCACCATGTTGGGCAGGCTGGTCTCGAACTCCTGACCTCAGGTGATCCACCCACCTCAGCCTCTCAAAGTGCTGAGATTATGGGAGTAAGCCATCGTGCCCGGCCCAGTGTTTCTGTTTCTTGAATCTAAGGCTACTCTGTCTGAAATAAATTGTATGTAAAAAATCTATTCATGTTTTTACATTTCCTTCATAATAAATAACTCCTAAGAACAAGGAGAAAAGTGCACTTCCTTTGTTTAATAGCTGCCAATGCACTCCCGTCGCCTTCTTTATTATCGCTTGTACTATGTGCCTTCACTTTTAATTGTATGCCTCTTTTGGGAGCATCAATGCTTCTGACAAATCTATTTTTTTCTACATTTTTTTAGGCCTCCCTGGTGAGGTTAGCTATTCCTTCAGTTTATAGCATCACTAAATTATATACAACACCAAAGGCATAATAGCTCTGTGTGTATGTGTGTGTGTTTGTGTGTGTATATGTGTCCCTTTTGACAGCAGCTCTGGTAAGGGCTACTAGTTCTACTGTTTGAGCTGGCTCAACTTTGGGTGAAAGGTTATCATCTAGTACAGTTTTTTGTTTTTTTGTTTGTTTTTGTTTGTTTGTTTGCTTTCGCTCTTGTTGCCCAGGCTGGAGTGCAATGGCGCGGTCTCAGCTCACTGCAACCTCCGCCTCCCTAGTTCAAACAATTTTCCTGCCTCAGCCTCCCAAGTAGCTGGGACTACAGGTACATGCCACCATGCCCAGCTAATTTTTTGTATTTTTAGTAGAAATGGGGTTTCACCATGTTGGCCAGGCTGGTCTTGAACACCTGACCTCAGGTGATCTGCCCGCCTCAGCCTCCCAAAGTGCTTGGATTACAGGCATGAGCCATCGTGCTTGGCCCTAACACAGTTTTATGTAGTCACTGCATAACTTCAATGGTGTTGACCTTGATCATTTAAAAAGAACACTGGCTCCAGATTCTCTAGGAGAACATCAACTAGATCTTTCTTGAAGATACTCGACTTCATGTTTGCCGTACTATAGTCCTGGGGCTCTTCCTCAGGTGGTGGAAGCAATACTGCAAGACTGAGATGCTAACACTGACACATGGTAGGTAACATGAGAGACCAACAACAGCAGCCAGCCTGAGCTAATGGGCTTGCAGAGCAGTGCTGGCTGTTGCTTGTCAGTAGTAAGGACTGAACAGCCTGTGCAACTCATGGAGTTAATGGTGCGACAAGGATAATATCGACAGAAGCACTGACTGTTTTGCAACCACTATTATGGCACATAACACGGAAGAAAACCCTAGTCCCTGAGTCTATACAAGTGCCTAAATCAGGAGTGGTTTCTGGTACTTCCCATGTTGTTGAGCTAAAGCCTCTTTTTGGTACCCCGTGGCACCTCATTTTTGTTTCAGCTCAAGGAAATGTGCCAAACGGGCGTAAGGTAAATGATGATGTTGTTGTTCAGGTAGAGCTGGTTTTGGGGTCTGCTGTGATTTAGATTTCAAAGTGACAAGGTCAGTTTCATCAAGGAAGTTTTCTGGTTGCGTGTTTTTGGTAAGTTCATGGAGGAGTCAAGTTGTGTTGGAAAAATTGAGAATCCACTGCTTTTCATACCTCTCAAGTTTCCCAAATCCTATGAGTGTCTTATTTTTGGGTAGAGTGTGCCTGTTGGTGGAGAGGTCACCTCCTGAATCATGTCCCACCTCTTGGAAAAATGGTCATTTTTAGCCACTTGCTCCTTTAAAAGTGGATTGAGTCCTCTTGAGGGTTTTCCGGGAGAGGTATATATGAGGCAAAGTCTCCTTGAAGGGGTGGCATGGCCATAGACGTACTCAGGAATCTCTCATTGATTTGTCCTCAATGACCACACTTGAGCATACATTCACCCTAGAGAAAAGCACCCACGTTGGGTACCAGATGAAGGGGTGGCCTGCCCCTCCACACCTGTGGGTGTTCCTTATCAGGTGGGATGAGAGACTGAGAAAAGAAAAAGACACAGAGACAAAGTATAGAGAAAGAAAAGTGGGCCCGGGGGACCAGTGCTCAGCATAGGGAGGACCCACGCTGGCACTGGTCTCTGAGTTCCCTCAGTATTTATTGATCATTATCTCTCCCATCTCGGAGAGGGGGATGTGGCAGGACAATAGGGTAATCGTGGGGAGAGGGTCAGCAGGAAAACATGTAAACAAAGGTCTCTGTGTCATAAACAAGGTTAAGAAAAGGTGCTGTGCTTTGTTGTGCACGTACACAAACATTTTAGTGCATTAAAGAGCAGTATTGCTGCTAGCATCCAGCCTTAAGGTGGTTTTCTCCTATCTCAGTAAATAGAACATACAATCAGGATTTACACCGAGACATTCCATTGCCCAGGGATGAGCAGGAGACAGATGCCTTTCTCTTATCACAACTGGAAAGAGGACTTCCTCTTTTACTAATCCTCCTCAGCACAGACCCTTTACGGGTGTTGGGCTGGGGGCGGTCAGGTCTTTCCCTTCCCACAAGGCCATATCTCAGGCTATCACATGGGGAGAAACCTTGGACAATACCTGGTTTTCCTAGGCAGAGGTCCCTGTTGCCTTCCGCAGTGTATTGTGTCCCTGTGTACTTGATATTAGAGAATGGTGATGACTTTTAACAAGCATACTGCCTTCAAGCACTTTTTTAACAAAGCACATTCTGCATAGCCCTCAATCCATTAAACCTTGAGTCAACACAGCACGTGTTTCTGCGAGCACAGGGTTAGGGCTGGGGTTACAGATTAATAGCATCTCAAGGCAGAAGAGTTTTTCTTAGTACAGAACAAAATGGAGTCTCTTATGTCTACTTCCTCTACATAGACACAGTAACAGTCTGATCTTTCTTTTCCCCACATCTTCTATATTGAATGAAATTGTAACCTTTCAGGAGTATGTCCTTTAAATCATGATTTAAAGACTGGAAGGAATCTAAGGTGTATCTGAGGTATTATTGCCCAAATATCTGTATACTGTTAGTCATTCCAAATAAAGAAAATACCTATCGATTATCTTTATTTACAGAGATACCAAAGAAGGCTGAGAAAGGTCTTCCACAGTGAACTATTTGCCTGTGAGTGAAACTAGAGATAGAATAGCATTAGAATGCGGCACTGTGGGAAACCTAGAAATAACTTTAGGGATGTTTCTTAAGTCTTGAACAAATGAACATCCCATCCTTTTCCATTAGGTTTGTAAAAAGGCAATACATAGACTTTTGTGAGACACTTTTGATTTAAGAATGTATAATTGGTTTTATTCCTTGAATAACTTCTGCTTTCAGCGGACATTAGAGTAGCTCAGGCAAGGACTTAAGAGGATCTACCCGTGTGTTTTTAGGCTCCATTCCTATTGTATGTCCTCCATTAACAGAGCTTTTGCTCATAAATTGCAATGTACCAGCCGGAGTGAGTTATCTACAGTTTCAAGAGTCATGGTCTAGGCAAGTTTAGGAAAGTCAAGTGTAGAAATAGCATGCCATGAAATTGGGTTTCTAGTAGTTCTTTACTTTCCAAGAATGATCTTTCAGGTGGGCACTTAATCCTGTAGCTGCATTTATATAAAGGGCCTCTGCCAGGTGGGTGGAGAGGCATGAAACCACGGAGGAGAAAACAGTGTTTTCTTCTGTTAGTCCTCATATGGTGGTCAAGGCTATGGATAGAAAAGTGGGTTTGAAATACCCACTGTAGTAACCCATTGATTTCTCTGAGTGACTGTTTTATTGCAGTAGGGCTCAGGATAGACAGAGTGGCCCTTGTGTCAACTAGAAGTAGGCCTTTGTGTCTCTTTATGTCTATAGATATGGTAGGCCATGTCCTAAAAGTGCCTCCATGCCCCAAGATTTCCGCCCCTGGTTATTCCATCAAATGTTCATCTAGGTACTGCTGACAAGGGATTTTGCAGTTATAATTAAGGTCCCAAATCAGCTGAACTTAAGATTCACAGATTAACCTGTGAGATTATCCGTGTGAGCCTAATCTAATTACACAAGTCCTTAAATGTAGAGGACTTTCCCTAGCTGATGGGAGTAGAGGCAGGTAGAAGAGAAGGCAGAAGGGGAAAGAGCCCAAGCACAAGAAGGAACTGAAGTGCCATCACTGGTTTGAAGACACAGACGGCCTCTGAGGACAGTGGCTCTTCACCCCTAGCTGACAACCAGAAAGGAAACAAGTTCCCCAGTCCTACAACTGCATAGAACGGAACTCTGCCAGCATCCCGAGTCAGCATGAAATGGGTTATTCCTCGAGCCTTCTGATTAAAAACCCAGCCTGGCCAGCACCTCAATGTCAGCCTCGTGAGACCTTGAGCAGAGAAGCCAGTCAAACCACCTGGACTTCTGACCTCCAGAATGGTGAGGTGATCAACGGGTGCTGTTTTAAGCTGCTAATTTTGAGGTAATTTGTTAGGCATCAGTAGAAAGCTAATACAATCAATGATTTCTTTTCTTCTGAATGAGACAATAGAAGACATAGCTGAGCACTCTTATGGCCTTTGGAATTATGCCAGCGAGAGCTCTGTTGGCTACAACCAGCCTTTTGCTTTCAAGACAAGACCAAAAGCATAAATCTGACATTTGCCCTGCTTCCAGTGTGACCTGCTGCAGTCAGGAAAAACCTCACATATTTCACTCTGAAATAAATCACGTTTTATTCTAGTACCCCAAATCAATAAAATACTGAGCATTTCCCACAAAACTATTATGTCTTTCAGAAATATGGTAATCAGAGCTGGGCGCAGTGACTCATGCCTGTAATCCCAGCATTTGGGAGGCCGAAACTCTGTCTCTACTAAAAAAGTAAAAAAAATTGGCCAAGCCTGGTGGCAGGCACCTGTAGTCCCAGCTACTTGGGAGGCTGAGGCAGGAGAATGGCATGAACCCGGGAGGCGGAGCTTGCAGTGAGCCGAGATCACGCCACTGCACTCCAACCTGGGTGACAGAGTGAGACTCCGTCTCTACATAAATAAATAAATAAATAAATAAGGTAATCACATGAGAAAATGACTGGTTCCCCACCACGAACAAGCTACTGTAATGTGGCAACTTTGATGAGGTGGCAGGGAGGTGTCGTTGCTGTGGTTTTCAACATTCGTGCTTTATGATTTAATGGGTAAAGGCTCCTGATATCTGCCTTGCATTCTTTGCCTCTTCTTTTCAAAATACTTTCGCCTTTGAGTCCTCCTTTGATGCTGGATACATTTTTCCAAAGTCCTTGCTGTTAGCAGGGTCTACATCTATTTTCTTTCACCAATTAGACTTAATTCTAGGTTAACTGAGAAACAGAATTGTCACATGTCTCATCATCCCTGGCTTTAAGGTTTGGAGTAAGCTCTGCAAATTGGAGGGCCATGGATTTCTTTTCTTTTCCGTATGCTCCATTTCGAAGTATTCTCTGCTAATGTCCTGCTGTAGTATGCATTTGGTGTTCCTCTAAGTTTGCAGTCTCACAGTGAACTCAATTTCTTTCTCTTTTTTCAGAGATAGCACCTCGCCATGTTTCCCGGTCTGGTCTTGAACTCCTGGGCTCAAGCAATCTTCTTGCCTTGGCCTCCCAGAGAGCTGGAATTATGGGATTACAAACATGAGTTACCATGCCTGGCTGATCCCAATTTCTTCTGACTGGGTTAGTAATTTTGGGACTCACTTCTTTCCTTTTCTTTTTTGGAGATGGAGTCTTGGAGTCTTGCTCTGTCGGCCAGCCAGGATGGAGTGCAGTGGTGCGATCTTGGCTCACTGCAACCGCCACCTCCCAAGTTCAAGCAGTTCTCCTACTTCAGCCTCCCAAGTAACTGGGACTGCAGGCACTTGCTGCCATGCCTGGCTAATTTTATGTATGTTAGTAGAGATGGGGTTTCACCATGTTGCCTAGGCTGGTCTTGAACTCCTGAGCTCAGGCAATCTGCCTGCCTCGGCCTCCGAAAGTACTGGGATTACAGGCCTGAGCCGCCGCGACTGGCCAGGACTCACTTCTATGATGACGAATTCAGGCAGAACCCTTTGAGTGTTTACTTCCCTGTCTATATTATATGACTTCTTTCAATAACTGGCTTTATTAAGATATCACTTATATACTGGGCAATCTGCCCATGTAAAGTGCACAATTAAATGGCTTTTAGTATATGTTCATAGAGTTATCACACAATCCATTTTAGAACGTTTTTATTTTCCCAAGGAGGAACTCTGCATCCCTTTGTCATTATCCCATCAGCCCTTGGCAAACAGTAATCTACTTTCTATCTGTAAAGACCTGCCACTTCTGGGCATATCACAAAAGTAAAATCATAGAACGTATGGTCTTTTGGAACGAGTTTCCTTCAGTTAGCATACTGTTTCCAGGGTTCATTCATGCTGAAGCATATATCAGTGGTTCATTTATTCTTCTTGACAAATGATATCCAACAAAATGTATACCACATTTTATTTTATTCATACATCGGTTGGTGGACATTTGGGTTGTTTCCACTTTTTGGATATTATGAATAATGCTGCTTTGAACATTCATGTACAAGCTTTTATGCAGGCATATGTTTTTATTTATCTTCAGTATACGCCTACAAATGGAATTACTGGGATATATGGTAACCATTTGAGGAACGGCCAGTCTGTTCTCCAAAGTGACTGTACCAATTTACAATCTCATCAGTAGTGTATGAGAGTTACAATTCCTTCATATCTTTTTCTTTCTTTCTTTTCTTTCTTTTTTTTTTTCGAGACAGAGTCCCGCTCTGTTGCCCAGGCTGGAGTGCAGAGGCTGCGATCTCGGCTCACTGCAAGCTCTGCCTCCCAGGTTCACGCTGTTCTCCTGCCTCAGCCTCCCAGGTAGCTGGGACTACAGGCACCCACCACCACGCCTGGATAAGTTTTTAGTAGAGACGGGGTTTCACCGTGTTAGCCAGGATGGTCTCGATCTCCTGACCTTGTGATCCACCCACCTCGACCTCCTAAAGTGCTGGGATTACAGGCCTGAGCCACCGCGCCCGGCCCCTTCATGTCTTTTTTGATGCTTGTTATCACCTGTATTTTTGAGTCTAGCTTTTCTGTTGGATGTGAAGTGCTATCTCATGTGGTTTAGATTTGCATTTTCCTGGTGGCTAATGATGTTGAACATCTTTTTGTGTGCTTATTGCTCCATTTGTATATGTTGGAGAAATGTCTATTCTAATCCTTTGTCCACTTTTCAGTTGTGTTATTTGTGTTTTTATTGTTGAGTTGATGGGATAATTTGCAAATATTTTCTCCCATTCTGTGCTTGTATTTTAACTTCCTTAATGTTGTCCTTTGAAATACAGAAATTTTAATTTTAGTGAAGTCCAATTTATCTACTTTTGGTTTTGTTTCTTGTGCTTTTGGTGTCATCCTTAAGAAAATGTTGCTTAATCCAAGGTTATGAGGATTTAAGTCTATGTGTTCTAAGAATTCCATAGTTTTAGCTCTTGTGTTTAGGTCTGTAAATCTTTTTTTTTTTTTTTTTTTTGAGACGGAGTCTCGCTCTGTCGCCCAAGCTGGAGTGCAGTGGCCGGATCTCAGCTCACTGCAAGCTCCGCCGCCCGAGTTTACACCATTCTCCTGCCTCAGCCTCCCGAGTAGCTGGGACTACAGGCGCCTGCCACCTCGCCCGGCTAGTTTTTTTGTATTTTTTAGTAGAGACGGGGTTTCACCGTGTTAGCCAGGATGGTCTTGATCTCCTGACCTCGTGATCCGCCTGTCTCGGCCTCCCAAAGTGCTGGGATTACAGGCTTTAATTCATTTTTATTTGTCTTTCAGCTTTGCATGTGGCATGAGGTAGGGGTTCAGTTTAATTCTTTTGCATGTAGACATCCAGTTGTCCCAGCACCATTTGTTGAAAAGATTATTATTGGCCAGGTGTGGTGGCTCACGCCTGTAATCCCAGCACTTTGGGAGGCCAAGGCAGGTGGATCACAAGGTCAAGAGATCAAGATCATCCTGGCCAATGTGATGAAACCCCGTCTCTACTAAAAATACAAAAAATTAGCCATGTGTCATGGCGTGCGCCTATAGTTCCAACTACTTGGGAGTCTGAGGCAGAAGAATCGCTTGAACCTGGGAAGCAGAGGTTGCAGTGAGCTGAGATCACACCACTGCATTTCAGCCTGGCAACAGAGCAAGACTCTGTCTCAAAAAAAAAAAAAAAAAAAAATATATATATATATGATGTATATATGTGTGTGTGTGTGTGTGTGTGTATAATTGTTATTCCCCACACCCAGTTGAAAAGATTATTTTCTCCCCCCTGTTGAATGGTTTTGGGATCGTTAATGAAAATCAGTTGAATATATAGATACAGAGGTTCGTTTCTAGATTTTTAATTCTATTCCAGTGATCTATATATCTATCCTTATGCCAATACTACTCTGTCTTGATTATTGTTAACTTCACATTAAGTTATGAAATTGGGAATTTTAAGTGCTACAGATTTGTTCTTCTTTTTCAAAATTTTTTCTTTTTTGCTATTTTGGGTCCATGAGTTTCTATATGAATTTTAGAATCAGCTTGTCAACTTTTGCAATTAAGTCAGCTGGGATTTTGACAGGAATTACTTTAATTTTGTAGATCACTTTGGGTAATATTGCCATGTTAACATTATTAAGTCTTTGAATACATGAACATGGGATATGTTTTTGCATATATTTAGAGCTTCTTTAATTTCTTTCAGCAATGTTTTATGGTATTTAGAGCATAAGTTATGCACTACTTTTGTCAAATTTACTCCTAGGTATTTTATTGCTTTTAATTATCTCATAAATGAATTTGTTTTTCTAATTTATTATTATTATTTTTTGAGACAGAGTCTTACTCTGTTGCCCAAGGTGGAGTGCAGTGGTGCAATCTCTCACTCCAACCTGTGCCTCCCATGTTCAAGTGATTCTTGTGCCTCAGCCTTCCGAGTAGCTGGGACTACAGGCATGCACTACCATGCCCAGTTGATTTTTGTACTTTTAGTAGAGACAGGGTTTCACCATGTTGGCCAGGCTGATCTCGAACTCCTGACCTCAAGTGATCTGCCCACCTCAGCCTCCCAAAGTGCAAGGATTACAGGCATGAGCCACTGTGCCCAGCCTGTTTTTCTAATTTCATTTTTTTGATTTGCGCTGCTAATGTATAGAAATACAACTGATTTTTTGATATTGATCTTGTATCTTGAAACTTGGCTGAACTCATTTATTAGTTCTAATATTAATTTTTTTCTTAGACCCCTTAGGATTTTCTATAGACAGGATTAGATAATCTGCAAATAGTGATGGTTTTATTTTTCCCTTTACAATTTTCATGGCTTTTGTTTCATTTTCTTGCCTAATTTCACTGGCTAGAACTTCCGGTACAATAGTGAGTAGAGGTGGCAAGAACAGACATCTTGATCGTAGGGAAAAGTAAGCAGTCTGTCTACTAAGTATGATATTAGCTGTAAATTTTTCACAGATGCTTTTTATCAGACTTAGGAACTTCTATTGCTAGTTTTCAAAAGTGGTTTTTTAAATTATGAAAGAGTATTAAACTTTGCCAAGTGCTTTTTTGCATCTAGTAAGATTGTTGTGTGTTTTTTCCTTTATTGTAATGGTGTGGTGTATTAAAATAATCTATTGTTCGATATTAAGCCAACCTTCCATGCCTGGGATAAATCCCACTTGATTATGGTGTAAAATCCTTTTTACACGTTGCTAGATTCAATTTGGTAGTAATTTGTTCAGGATTTTTGCATCTGTACTCAGAAGAGATACTGGTCTATGGTTTTCTTTGTTTTTGGTATTGGGCTATTATCAGGCTCATAGGAAGAGTTGGAAAGTGTTACCTTCTCTTCTATTTTTTGGAAGATTTTGTGAAAGATCAGTATAATTCTTCAGTAAACGTTTGGTAGAATTCCTCAGTGCTGCACTTTTCTTTGTGGGAATTTCTTTTCTTTTCCTTTTTTTTTTTTTTTTTTTTTGAGACAGGCCCTCACTCTGTTGCCCAGACTGGAGTGCAGTCTCACTGCAGCCTTGACCTCCTGGGCTCAAGCGACCTTCCCACCTCCATCTCCCAGAGTAGCTGGGCCTGCAGGCACACACCCCTGAACCTGGCTAGTTTTGTTGTTGTTGTTGTTTCGTATTTGTAGAGATGGGGTTTCACCATGTTGCCCAGGCTAGTCTCAAATTTCTGAGCTCAAACTATCCACCCACCTCAGCCTCCCAAAGTGCTGGGAGTACAAGCTTATACCATTGCACCTGGCCTAGATTTTTTTCTTTTATTACTAATTCAATCTCTTTTCTGTGACTATTTATATCTTCTGTGTTTTCCTAGAATCAGTTTTGGAGTTTATGTCTTTCTAAGAATTTGTCCATTTCATCTAAGTTACCTAATTTGTTGGCATACAGATGTCCATAGTATTCCCTCACAATTCTTTTTTATTTCTGTAAGCTGGTGGCAATGGCCTCTCATTAATTTCTGATTTTAGTAATTTGACTCATCTGTCTTTTTTGTCAGTCAGCCTAGGTAAAGGTTGGCCGACTTTGTTGATCTTTTAGAATAATCAACTTTTGGCTGGGCACAGTAACAGTGGCTCACACCTGTAATCACAGCACTTTGGGAGGCCAAGGCAGGCGGACTGCCTGAGGTCAGGAGTTCGTGACCAGCCTGGCCAACATGGTGAAACCCTGTCTCTACTAAAAATACAAAAATTAGCTGGGCGTGGTGGCACACACCTGTAATCCCAGCTCTTCGGGAGGTTGAGGCAGGAGAATCGCTTAAACCCAGGAGGTGGAGGGTGCAGTGAGCCAAGATTGTGCCATTGCACTCCAGCCTGGGCGACAAGAGTGAGACTTCTCTCAAAAAAAAAAAAAAAAAAAAAAAAAGGAAAAGCAAACAAAAACAACAACAACAACAAAAACCAACTTTCGATTTTGTTGATTTTCTCCATTATTTTTCTAATTGCTATTTCATTAAATTCCTCTCTAATTCTTCTGATTTCCTTTCTTATGCTTGCTTTGGGTTTAGCTTGCTGTTCTTTCATAGTGTCTTACTGTGGAAGGTTAAGTTGCTGATTTGAGATCTTTTTTCTTTGTTATCATAAGTATTTACAATTATAAATTTATCTGTGAGTACTGCTCTAGCTGCCTCCCATAAGTCTGTGTCTGACTCTTTATTTTTAGTTTATACAGCCAGCATTTGACTTATTTTTTATTGTGATGAAATATATATAACATAAAATTTACCATTTTAATTGTTACGTATGACTCTTGCATAAATGCTTCAATCCCAAACTTTCTGCAGAATTTTTAGAACAAGAAACAGAGAGACAAACCCACAGATAACTGTGATAAGTATGGAAAATGACAATTTTGTGTAACAGAGAGACTTTCAGATTGAGTCAAGACTGGGCCAGTTTTTTTCTGGACAGCATTAGTCTCCATGACCCAACATGCATTTGAATGAGAATTACAGACTATAAATAGAATAGGCAGAAATTTAGAGAGCTGTGGGACTCTGCAGATGCTCAGTAGCTTATTCACTCCTCCACGACAAAGATTTCTTTCAAAAGAGAGTTAACAGATAAGTTACAAATCAAGGTTGAAAACTCAACAAATCACTTTAGTATCCCAGCAAAGTCTCACACTCTGAGTCATGCATTGGAAACTGCTGACCAGTACTCAGGTTATAACTCCGCAAACAAGAAAGGCGTTATTGCTGTTGAGTGACTCACCACGAAAAGCAGCAGAGCCCCTGACCGTGGGCTCAGCCCTTTGAGCTGAGGGCTCACACTCCTCAGATTGAGCTGTCCACTGCTGCAGACAAGGGGAACCGACAAGGCATCTTAGTGGAATCTCCAGAATTGTTAAAGGAAAGGCAATGAGTGCCACGGTGATGGAAAAATAGAACACTGGATTTATTTACTTGCTAGGCAACAGCCATGCCCAGCTAATTTTTAAACTTTTTGTAGAGATGGGGTCTTGCTATGTTACCTAGGCTCGTCTCAATCTCCTGGCCTGAAGTGATCCTCCTGCTTCAGCCTCCTAAAGTGCTGGGATTACAGGTGTGAGCCACCATGCCCAGCCCTTAGTTGTTTATTAATTGCACAGAAATCCTTTCTATTCTCACTAAAATTTTTTAAAACACTGTTTTTTAGTGAGCACAATGTGACCGAATAAGCTTCATTATGTTCTCAAACCTTGGTTCAGCACTCTGAGATGCAGAAGGTAAAACGATGGTTCTCAGCTGGCAGGATTTTGTCTGCCACCACTCTGGGGACATTTGGCAATGTCTGGAGATGGTTTTGGTTATGACTTGCAGGGACTATGCCCTTGGAATCCTGTGGGTGGAGGCCAAGGATGTTCAGGATAAACTCCCACCACAAAGGATCACTGGGCTGGAAGCATCAGCAGTGCTGAGGTGGAGAAGCCCTTAGCTGGAAGAGCTGGCTCTGCAGCAGGCGGGCTGCCTGGCCCATAGCCACTGTTTTTTTGCTGGCAGAGCCTCGCCGTAGAAACTGACAAGGCCAGATTCCCTTTTGATTTCCCTTTCCCCTTCCTTCCTCACAGAAAGGACTCAGCCAATTCTGATCAGCAGGCAGCAGCCATTACCCTCCGAAGGTCAGCGCAGTTAGGTGTGGTGACAGACACACTTGGAGGTGCCACAGCCTCCTGCGTGTCCTTGTACTCCTTGTCCATTTGGTCGTCTTCACTGTGGGGCATCTTCCTGGCCAACGATAGCTCCAGACCATCTTCAGGTGCTTGGCTGAAAACCCACAGAAGAAGTAGCTTGCTGTAGACGTCTCCTCTGCCTTCAGGGACCAGTTTTGGCAACGCGACAAGCTTGATTTCTCAGACCGGCTAATTGGTGACTCCTCCGCTCTGCCAACTTCCCTCTGATACCTTCGCTTCTCTAGCTCCTCCCGCAACTGGCAAGGTCTCGTTCCTGTAATAGATCTCTCATCGCATGACCCATTCTGGTTCTGCCCACCTGACGAACCCTGGAGGGTGCCCCTGAGTATTACCATCTGCTGCAGTGGGCAATGTTCTCTGTCCCTTGAGGTTATGGAATTTCTGTCTTATTCCACTTCAGAGAAGTAGAGTGTGTTCTAGCCCAGGAAGGACACTCACTCTGATTTTGGCAGGTTCTAAATCTGTCATAACCTCACACATCCAGTTATTCATGGACAAGGGAACATGAGCTCAATCTGACTTTATGTTCTGCTTTTGGAGAGAAAGTGGGTGACCTGATGTGTTTCTGAGAAACGAGTCTAGGGAGGTGTGTGCCCCACTCTCTGCTCGCTGCAGATGTCCCCATTGCAAGCACATTTGTACCCCAGTGCTTGTCTTCACCTTTATGACGTCCTCCCAGGTGAGAAATCACCCAAGTGGTCATGGCCACCTCCCACTATTTCAGTGTTCGGGGTTTTGGAAATGATTTACTGACATTGTATCAGAGCATAGTAACATTTAATCAGGGGCTGGCTTTCTCAAGGACAAATATTTTCTGCCATCAGTTCCTAAGCAGAAGAGGCCAACAGCATCTGAGGATCCCTTTGTCTGGGTTTCTGGCAGTTACCTCCCTTCCCAGGGTGAACAGCGACTCCGTTGCGCAAGGATTGACTTATCTTCCTGCCCTGTGTTTCTGACATTGTGAACAAAGTTTCTGGGGAAGTAAACTTTATGTTTAAACCATGTTTATGTTAAGCTTTATCTGTTCGAAAATCAAGTATATATAGCTGATCATAAAATAATGACTTATTATAGAAAATGTGAACAAATATAGAAATGTTTTCAGTGGAACATAAGTCACTCTAGATCTCTCAACCCAGAAATACTGCTGTCACTATCTTGAGCATTTCAGTCTCATCTCTGGAATATATTTATATATATTCATGTCTTACAAAATTAGGGTCAAATTATATCTACTGAGGAGGCAGCAAACTTTAAAAATAAAATAACCCCTGACTCACAGACTGAGGGAATAATATACTTTGAAGAAGTGAGAGAAAAAAAAATTATGTTGGTGTCAGGGTTGTTTTTCAGATAATTCTGAAGATGGTGGCGGGAGCATCCTATCAGCGTCTTGCTTCTCTAAAGTCCTGGATGTGGTAACGGATTATTGGCACAATAATGCTGTGTAACAGACAACTTCACAGTTTCAGTGTCTTGTAGCACTTCACACAAGGCTGTGCAGGCCACTGGGCTCAGCTGCACTGGGCTCTAAGCGGCAGGGTGGCCTCCGACGTGCCCCACAGGCTCCTTCTCCTTTGATCAGCAGCACCTGGATGTGTTCTCATGGTGAAGGGCCAGAGCCCAGGAGCGGAGCCAACTGTACGCACAAGCATATTGCAGGCCTTTGCCCACACCTCACTGCTAATGATCCATTGGCCAAAGCAACAGTCACGGCGTGAGGAAACGCCCCTCATCTACAGCAGGCACGAGGGGAGGAGAAAACCATCCCGAGGGCCACAAAGGATGAGCTTGCTTTTCCATCCCCGTGAAGAGCTACGGCTTTGGCAAGAGTTGCAGGAGCTGGTTGGGGCTTGGAATGAGCTGCAAAGAGGGCTTGCTTTAGCACCAGGCAGTTTCTCTTTCTTTCTGTCCTTGAAGGCAGAACCAGCTCCTCTTTTTCTGTGTCTGTATCTCTGGCTCCTGCACAGGGGGTTTGGCTCGCCGTGAGGACACATTTGGTGTCAAATAGATTTATGTTCTGGAGACCTTTTTCTTCCAGGGCAGCCTTACCTCATCAGAATGCGGAAGGGACCTGGCTCAAGAGGTCCCAGTATCGACGACAGCAGCCAATATTTTAGACAAATCTTTTCCTTGCCTCAGCAGTGGCGGCTCCATCCTGATTTTATAAGACAGGAGCAGGTCTGCAATTAATGCCCGTAAATCACAGGTGGCTGGAGCAGACGCCTCAGTTTCGATTCCTGGATAGGCTGTGGTCTCACATCATCAACAGCACATGGCCGGGGCTCAAATGACCAGTCTCAGATGACCCGAACTCACAGGGAGAGGCCTGCGTGGGCTCTGCTTCCATGGACGCCCTAGGCGTGCTGTGGCTGCGCCCTGGGGAGCCTTCTCTCTCACTATTCCTTGGCAGGAGAATGGGTTGTCATGGCCCAGTCCTGTCACACTTCCAAGCTCCTCGGTGTCCCCTGTCCCATGCACGGGATGCACATCCTGCCCTACAGTGCAGGGCTCCTGAGCACACTATGGACAAGGCTGGGTGACTCAGGCTCACGGGAGCCCCAGCATGGCCCCTGTGATATTGTGAACCCCATTTCCCGGCACATGACTCCTGAAATCCTTAGCAACTCCACAGTGATGTCTTTTGTACAGGAATGAATTACCTGCTGGCTGGCAGCCCCTAGGGAGGGTGGAGCAGCTTACCAGAAACATCTAGGCAGGATTAGAGGTCAGGACTTTCAACTCCACCCCCCAGCCTGGAGGTTGCCAGTGGTTTAATCAGTCGTGAAGCTTCCATAAAAACCCCGAAGAACTGGATGCCAGGAGCTCTTGGATGGCTGAACACGGGTTGCTTCTTGGAAGGCGGTCCCTGGGGAGGGCATCGAAGCTTCGTGCTCCCTCTCCCGTACCTCACCCTCTGCATCTCTTCATTTGTGTCCTTTGTGATCAACCACTAAAGGTAAGTGTTTACCAGAGCTATGAGAGCTACTCCAGCAAATTCACCAAACCAAAAGGAGCCATGGGGACCCCAACTTGAAGCCAGCCAGTCAGGAGTTCCGGAGGCCCCGCACTTGTTCCTGGTATCCAGCGGGGCTGGGGAGGGGGGTAGTCTTGGGCACGGAGGCCTCACCCTCGGATCTGATGCTACCTCCAGGTGGACAGTATCAGAACTGAAGTTGGGGACACCCAGCTGGTGTCCGCTGCAGAACCGATTGCTTGTGTATTGTTGGGGAGAAATCCCCACACATTCGGCCATAGAAGTCTTCTGTGTTGATTGTTGTAGGGTGAGAGAATAGAAAAAGCATTTTGGGCTTGTATGGGAGCTTTTTTCTATTTTTACAGCCCCAAACAGGAGTGGGGGTTGTAGGGAAGAGGTGGGCGGAGCCTGCTGCAAGTTGCAGGGCTGTGTCCCAGCAGTGCTGGGAGGGGATTGTGTGCACTTGTCCTGGGAGGGGGTCCTGGCACAGGAGCCAGCACCAAAGGGTGACAATTCTTACCCTTTACCCCACAGGGCAGGGATGCTCTAAGTTTGGCAAACCAGCTAATCCTCCTGCACACTGAACCTTAGGGTCTCCGCCACCCTCCCCTACAGCAGGCAGTTGGCATCTGGTGCACATGAAGGGGCATCTGAAGACCCCATCTCTGGAGCATCCTCAGCCACCGCACCAGAGGTGCCAGGTGCGGCCAGCTTGGTGTGGCTGCCAGTGGAAAGTCACAGCCCCACCACTGGCAGAACCCAGGTAAGACCCGGAGCAGTGAGCCCCTCATGAAACCCCCACCCCATTTTCTTTTTTTTTGAGATGAAGTCTCCACCCAGGCTGGAGTGCAGAGGCACGATCTCAACTCACTGCAAACTCCGCCTCCCGGGTTCAAGCGAGTCTCTTGCCTCAGCCTCCCGAGTAGCTGGGATTACAGGCACCCGTCATCAAGCCCAGCTAATTTTTTTATTTTTAGTAGAGATGGAGTTTCACCATTTTGGCCAGGCTGGTGTTGAACTTCTGAGCTCAGGTGATCCTCCCACGTCGGCCCCCCAAAGTACTGGGATTACAGGCGTGAGCCACCGCGCCCAACCCCTCACCCCATTTAACAAAACTTATGTGTGTGGACACTAAAATAGTTTCCTTCTGACATTTCTGATTGCAAAATTGTGCACAAACTGAAGCTGATCTTTTCCCTCCCCACCCTTCTCTTTTTGTCCCTGCTTTCCTGGTTCAATTGGGCCTTTCTAAAAACACTGAAGATTCCACTCCATGTCATACCAACGACATTTCAATGTCCCCCCAACATCAAATGCAATTTTATATTCCTATAAGTTGAATTATGATGGATTATTTGACATAAAATACACCTTATAGATCTATGAATGTTGATGTTGATTTTGTTTTCATTCGAAAGTTGGCATCAATACATCCTCCAACCCCTCCCTTTCTCTCAAGCCTCGGGGACCTTGGAAAGCTGGCACATGTGCTTATTCAGCCTTTTGGGCAATTCAGTGGGACCTGAAACATGCTGTCATCCTGCCCTAGAGAAGGCTGACAGTTGGCGGTTCCAGTCTCTGCACTTCCACAGAATCCTGGGGCACCCTGAAGGCAGTTTTCTGAAGAACTTACTCCCACGGGAGTTTGGAGTGGAAATGGTCCTCCAACTAAAAGTTTACTCATTCTGCAATCACAGTTCATTCATGCTGGGTGCAGTCCTAATGCCAACGTTTGTTTCCTTCATGACGTCGCACCTGAATCAGGGTCAGGCCAGACCTCTGAAGCCTCATCCTCATGCAACTTGTCTCACGATGGAGAGTGGCCGGTCTCTCTGCAGTACTGTTCAAAATCACCTGTACCCCCTGCAAGACTAGGCTTCTGGGAAGAAACCAGGTGGGAAACCTGGCATAAAACCAACAAGTAGAGGCAGCAGAGGGAGGATCCAGCCATGGGCTGAGACTTGCCGGGCACCTTTGCAGCTTGCTCTTGGGACCTGCCCAGGCTGGAGTGCAGTGGTGGGATCTCAGCTCACTGCATCCTCTGCCTCCTGGGTTCAAGCAATTCTCCCTGCCTCAGCCTCCCAAGTAGCTGGGATTATAGGTGCCTGCCACCATGCCTAGCTAATTTTTGCATTTTTTGTAGAGACGGGATTTTGCCATGTTGGCCAGGCTGATCTTGAACTCCTGACCTCAGGTGATCCACCTGCCTCGGCTTCCCAAAGTGCTGGGATTACAGGCGTGAACCACCATGCCTGGCCTCTGTTAACCTGATTCTTTATCATTTTAGTAAACAGGTTATAAGAAATTTCTGTATTTGAAAATGAAAGAAACATTGATTGACTCCAATATTCTGAGGAAAAAACTCCAGGAGTTTCTAGTTACAATGTAAAAGACAAAAACATCTAGCATAGAAAGGAGCCGGCTTTCTACTCCTAGACAAGTCGATTCACTTCCCTCTGCTCCTTTCTGTTAAGTGAAACTAAAAACCCTGGAAATAATTCAATGGACAATCATAAGGACCCTTGGGAAAGTAAAAAAGAGGCAGGCAGCCTGGCTGGAGAACTCAGGACTTGAGGACTGAGGTGGTGGCGAATCTCTGGGTTTTGTTTTTATCTTTGCTGTATTCTGGACTGGGTGCTGGAGGAGCCTGCAACCCAGACCCACCATAAGGCACAGATGGAAAATAAAACTTGAAGAAACGCCTTATTTCTCTAGCAGAGACAGGGAAATGGGCAGCCCACAGGACAGAAATCTTTTTTGGTAATACCCACTTTACCTTCAGCTAAGTGAACACCGCAGCAACTCCAGCACTGCAGTGAAGTCTCAAAGAGAGTCTAGACTCCCATGTCCCGCCCAGCAGCAGCAGGCAGCCTGGGCTGGTGCCATCGGCAGAGGCCAGGTAGGGGGTGTGGACTCCCACTCCCACCCACCAGGGCCAGGGGACTGTTGGCAGCAAGTTCCTTCCCTACTGGCATGGTGTCCGCAGAGATGGAGTGGGGAGTCTGGACTTCTGTCCCCACCCCCAGC